AATGAAGTGATTTTAATAATATTTACAGCAAGAACATGAAGTGATTTTAATAATATTTACAACGAGAACATGAAGTGATTTTAATAATATTTACAATGAGAACATGAAGTGATGTTAATAATATTTACAGCACGAACATGATGTGATTTTAATAATATGTACAATGAAAACATGAAGTGATGTTAATAATATTTACAATGAGAACATGAAGTGATGTTAATAATATTTACAATGAGAACATGAAGTGATGTTAATAATATTTACAGCAAGAACATGATGTGATTTTAATAATATTTACAATGAAAACATGAAGTGATTTTGATAATATTTACAGCAAGAACATGAAGTGATTTTAATAATATTTACAGCAAGAACATGAAGTGATTTTAATAATATTTACAATGAGAACATGAAGTGATTTTAATGATATTTACAGCAAGAACATGAAGTGATTTTAATAATATTTACAATGAGAACATGAAGTGATTTTGATAATATTTACAATGAGTACATGAAGTGATTTTAATAATATTTACAGCAAGAACATGATGTGATTTTAATAATATTTTACAATGAAAACATGAAGTGATTTTGATAATATTTACAGCAAGAACATGAAGTGATTTTAATAATATTTACAGCAAGAACATGAAGTGATTTTAATAATATTTACAATGAGAACATGAAGTGATTTTAATAATATTTACAGCAAGAACATGAAGTGATTTTGATAATATTTACAGCAAGAACATGAAGTGATTTTAATAATATTTACAGCAAGAACATGAAGTGATTTTAATAATATTTACAATGAGAACATGAAGTGATTTTAATAATATTTACAGCAAGAACATGAAGTGATTTTAATAATATTTACAATGAGAACATGAAGTGATTTTGATAATATTTACAGCAAGAACATGAAGTGATTTTGATAATATTTACAGCAAGAACATGAAGTGATTTTGATAATATTTACAGCAAGAACATGATGTGATTTTAATAATATTTACAGCAAGAACATGAAGTGATTTTGATAATATTTACAATGAGAACATGATGAATGATATCATATCTATTTAGAACTATAATTTGTATATTTCATAACAAATATTATTTCTGTATGTTTCAGGTGTTAAAAAGAGGATGAATGAAAGTGAAGATGTGGAAATACGAAATGCTTTAATCAATGAAGAAAGAGTAGTAGTGGAACGCCCTGTATATACGCAACTAGAGTTTGATAAAGGATTTACCAGCATTCAACGCCCTGCTAAAACACCAAAAGTATGGGCCAAGAAGAAAGTTTCAAAGTTCGAATGTTCGGGAAAATGTGTTGGAAAATTTATAACTCAAGTTTTTCCATTTCTGTCACTATTAAAAGGATATAGCATTCGGAATGACTTTCCTGCGGATATTATTGCTGGACTGACTGTTGGTATTATGCATATCCCACAAGGTAAGGCCACCGCTTATTGTAAAATATTGATTGCCAACAATAACTCACTCTGATAGAACTGCTTCTGAAATGTCTGAAATTCCGTTGACCTTGATAAGGTTATATAATGAAAAACTATAACTTAATTTGAGCGACGTTTTGACCAGTGGTCTCTGGTCTTTATCAAGCAATGAATAGATAAGGTTATCCTTTGCCAAATGACCTCGCAAATTAATTACTTTTAAATTTTCCTTTAAAGTGTGGTATCAGGTGTCTAAGAGAGTGAGCAAACTCTGATGTCTGGCATCACACCAACCTGCAATGCTGTTCGATGGAAATTTTAAAGATGAACATTATTCAACAATGTAATATATTTCAGGTATGGCATATGGACAGTTATCCACACTTCCTCCAGTTTATGGGCTATATGTTTCATTTTTTCCAGTTTTAGTTTATTTCTTCTTTGGTTCATCAAAGCATGTCTCAGTTGGTAAGTAGATATGTTTACTGTAAGATCATGATAATATTGTCTCAACTAAAATAGAGGATTTATGTTTTCAGTTAGTTTGTCCAAATTTCTTATTTTAATTTGTAGCAGGGTTCTGTAACATAGGTGGTAAGGATGTTGGAATTTTTACACGACATCATTTGCTGAACCTTTGATGATTTTTCAGTTATTGCTCTTTGTGCAGAAATCTCCATTTTCCATTTGTGATAACACCTTTAGACACGTTTTTGGCATGAGTTTAACATCTACAGCAATATCACTGAATGAGAGAAGAAAATGAATGAAATATTATATTAAATCTTGTAGGAACATTTGCTGTTGTAAGTTTAATGGTGGGATCTGTGGTAGATAAAGGTCTAGCATCTAAAGGTCTGTCATTAGATAGACCAGCTAGCAGCAACAATGGTACAAGTGACATCTTCAATGTAACCAATACCAATTTATCGCAGACTATAGGAGACTTCACTAGTAACAGTATTGATGATGAGTTACTTCGGACACAGTTAGGTTTTGCCATGGCTGTTACTTTTGCTGTTGGTGCTATTCAGGTAAATTACAGTTATGTATTTTGCCAATATCACACAAAAATGTGGTTTTTAAAATCCCAAGCTTGGCCTTAATAAAGTTTTAATTCATATTACATTCTAATACATGCTAAATAGTGTTTTAGTAGATATTTATATATAACATGATATCTAAAAAATAATAACAGAACCTGGATCATGTTCTTACACAGTGGCTCAGTGAGTTAGATGCTTGCTTGCTAACCTGAAGGTCCAGGATTCAGACCCGGCATAGGTCGAGATAATACCTTCAGATTTTTTAAACCCGGATGGGACAATAAACTTTGATTCTATAGTTATTTGTTATTATTATTATTTGTTATTATTGTTATTTGTTATTATTGTTATTTGTTGTTATTGTTATTTGTTGTTATTGTTATTTTCAGTTATTGATGGGAATGGTTAGATTAGGATTTGTAACTGTCTATCTGTCAGACCCATTAATAAGTGGTTTTACTACTGGTGCTGCTTGCCATGTTTTTACCAGTCAAATTAAACATATCTTTGGTGTAGCTGTCAACAGATATAATGGTCCATTTAAACTCATTTATGTAAGTTTTTTTTAAGACTACTCTCTACCTACGATGTTTACTGAATTGAATTTTGGCCATCATTTCATTATGAATTGAAATATCAATTACAAAATACTACTGAGAGTCTTAGATTTTCTTTGTGTTGATGAAAAAGTTATTATTTATGAACATAATTTTATAGAGGGGAATTTTCAGTCCCAAGAGTAGGTAATTTTCACGTGAATTTTCTGGGAGGGAAGTGTGTCTATTTTAAATATAAAATCACTGAACCTAATATTTTGAATATTTATGAAATGAGAGAAAAAATTCAATTCATAGCTATTAGAATTCTTAAATTGTCTTTTATTCAATTTTTATTTCAGTCATACAGAGATTTCTTTAAAAACATTCCAACTACAAATTTTGCTGCATTGATTGGGTCAGCAATTTGTATATTAGTCTTAGTATTAGTAAAAGAATTAATCAACAATAACCCTAGAATCAAACCAAAACTTAAAATGCCAGTACCTATTGAACTTATTGTGGTAAGTAATGTCTGATAAAAACTTAGAATGCCTCTTTCTATTGAACCTTTCGTGGCAAGTAATGTCTGATAAAAACTTAGAATGCCTCTTTCTATTGAACCTTTCGTAACATTAAGTAATGTCTGATAAAAACTTAAAATGCCTCTTTCTATTGAACATTTCGTGGCAAGTAATGTCTGATAAAAACTTAAAATGCCTCTTTCTATTGAACCTTTCGTAACATTAAGTAATGTCTGATAAAAACTTAGAATGCCTCTTTCTATTGAACCTTTCGTAACATTAAGTAATGTCTGATAAAAACTTAGAATGCCTCTTTCTATTGAACCTTTCGTGGCAAGTAATGTCTGATAAAAACTTAGAATGCCTCTTTCTATTGAACCTTTCGTGGCAAGTAATGTCTGATAAAAACTTAGAATGCCTCTTTCTATTGAACCTTTCGTGGTAAGTAATGTCTGATAAAAACTTAGAATGCCTCCTTCTATTGAACCTTTCGTGGTAAGTAATGTCTGATAAAAACTTAAAATGCCTCTTTCTATTGAACTTTTCGTGGCAAGTAATGTCTGATAAAAACTTAAAATGCCTCTTTCTATTGAACCTTTCTTGGTAAGTAATGTCTGATAAAAACTTAAAATGCCTCTTTCTATTGAACTTTTCGTGGCAAGTAATGTCTGATAAAAACTTAGAATGCCTCTTTCTATTGAACCTTTCGTGGCAAGTAATGTCTGATAAAAACCAACTATAAATTTCTATCTATTGATTGGAGACAATAGTATCTAATTAAGATCGTTGATGAATATTTAAGATATTGAGAGTTTCAATTTGTTTTCAGGTTATTATTGGTACATTAGTATCCGAGTTTTCACGTTTAAATGAGGTTTATGACGTTAATATTGTTGGTGATGTACCAGTAGGGTGAGATATTTTTTGATACACTTCTAATATCACTCCCTTCTATAAACCAGTTACGCCAACTAGAATTTATCTTTTGATAAAGGCTACTGTAGTTTGTCACGTGATAAAATTTTTTTGAATTTGAATATAAGAATTGAACGGTAGTTTCACTTTATGATAAAGTAACATTTTGTTGAAATAATATTTCTATTTAAGATTTCCAGTACCACGAGCCAACCAGTTTATGTATTTACCTGATGTTATATCTGATGCCATTGCCATAGCAATTGTTGCCTTTGTTATTTCTGTTTCTATGGCCAAAATTTTAGCCAAACGTCACGATTATGATATTGATTCAAATCAGGTAGGTTCATACTTTGTCGTAGTTTTAGATTATTTATTCAAACCTCCCTACTTCTTGGTCACTTTAATTCCTCAATTTTGTCA